CCAGTGACAGTTTATCCTCGCGGTTGACTGCAAGCTGGTGCTCATGCAGTCTTGTGCAGAGGCGTTTCCCCGTTTCACCAACATACCGTGCATTGCAATTTTGGCACGGTATGCTGTAGACCACTGCTGATTGTTCCGTTGCCGGTAGCGGGTCTTTTGGTCTCATTATATGCTGTCTGATGGTGGATTCCGGTTTATGGGCCACCCCAATCCCAAAAGGGTTTAGGATTTTAGCTGTCGCCTCGGAAACATTCTTTACGTAGGGGATCGCCAGCCAAAACTTCGGCTTCTCACCGTCTGATCGCTGACGGGTAGTCTTTCGTCGGCACTCACGTATGAAGGATCGTGGGTAGCCATTGGCTGTGAATAATGCATGTAGATATTTTGTCTCCTCCTTTTTCCCGTCGTCGTCGCTACAGTGTGTTTGAACTCGTTGGAAGAGAGTTCTCACACAACTTCGCTTGTGACCAATAGGGTGGTTACTTCGGAATTGGAGGATGCCCGGTCGCCAAAAGTGAAGAAAGTCCTGAGGCATAATTCCAGAAGTTCAGTGGTGTGCGTTTGCTTAAGTTGTTGATCAACGTCATCATACTTTTCCTGAAGAAGCTCGTCAATTGTGCTGATGGCGAGGCCGGTTGGAATGGACGCTAATAATGAGACCACGTCAAACGATACCATCATCTCATCTGGTTCTATTTCTAGGTTTCTGATGCTTTTCAGGAATTCTTTAGCCGACTTCACCGTCCATTCCGAGCCCGCGGTGAGGAAACGAAACCGTTGGTTAAGCCATTTTGAGAGTCCAAAGGTCGGGGTGCCGCGTAGGGAGACTATGGGGCGTAGGGGGACTCCTGGCTTATGCACTTTTGGCAGGCTGTAGAAACGCGCCATGGCGGCATCTGTCGCTTTTGCCGCCAATGCCTCATTTCTTTTCAGGGCTCTTGCCTTCCTCAACTTGTCTATTGCCCTGTTTACGCTATTCACGTGTTTCTTGAACTCTCCAGTCTCCGAAAGCTCATAGGCACCTTCGTCCTCCAACAGACTTTGCAGTTTCGTCGTGTAATCGGTCTTATCCATGACAACAGTAGATTTATATAAACCAAGCCGCGAGTCTTTTCTTCTATGGTTCTAATCCAATCCTAATTATTTTGTGTATGTTAGGATTTTTTTTTACTGATCACTCAACATTCTTCGTAATATGCTACTTATTCAAAAAGTATGAATTAAGTACCCTAATAATTCTGTATACCTCGGCTAAAATTCTAAAATTGATATAAAAGTTACTCTAACTTGCTATGATAGGACCCCCACGGGTAGTGAATAAAAATTATCATTATTATTTATTATTATAATACTGAATCATGCATCATATTGTTCCTGATAATGTGACATTATAGGATTATTTGTCGACTATTTAGTATGATCACATATAGTTGTACCTAGGTTTTATATGGCCTCAATACAGCCTTATGCACAACCTAAATGTAGGGTCTTATTGAAAAGTATGTTAATACTAGATTTTTAATTGACAATTCGTGTCAGAGGAGTTAGCTGATCGAAACGAGAAAGGGGAAAACACGGGCTATCTCCATTTGTTTTGTGCTTATTAATGATGCTACCTAACTTAAATTTAGTTGTTTTTTTAGTGTTATGTTCCAGTGTTATTTAAGTGTCTGGTTACATCAGAGCACTTTTTGATCAAATCCCA